CGTCTTCGTCGTCGTCGTCGTCTTTGTCGTGGTGGTCGTGGTGGCCGTGGTGGTCGTGGTCGTCGTCTTCGTCGTGCTGGTCGACTTCGTCGTAGTGGTCGACCTCGTCTTGGTCGCCGTCGCTTGGACCTGGCCAGGGTCAAAGGCAGGGCGCTGCGTTCAGTGCAAGAGCCCCCTGCCAACGAGAGCTGTCGTCAAGTGAAACAAGGTGTGAATGGTTCGGGGCTGGAACGCATCACCTCATGGGATCCTCCCAGACAGGGTTCTACGAACCCTCGAGTTGTCGTGGGAGGAGGAGGAGGAAGAGGGCGAGGAGGAGGAGGAGGAGGAGCAGGAGGGCGAAGAGGAGGAGGAGGAGGAGGAGGGAGAGCTCAGAACAACTCCACCTTCACGACGAAGTGCCCGAACAAGGCGACGAAGGTGGGCAGCAGCAGCTGGCCCGTCCACGAGCACGATGCTGGGACACCATGCAGTGCTTCTGCCGAGCACACTGCTCAGAGCCTCACACAGTGGAGACCCATGCCAAGAAACACCCTGCTCGCCTCCAGGGTGCTCTGGGTTTCTTGTGTGTCGATGGTTTTGCTATGGGAAGCGTGACGTTTCCACACCAAAAATTAATGGACGTCCTGGGGTCTCAGGGTTGGGTTTTTTGTGGAAGGTTTCTTGTGGACTGGCTTCCATTGTACCCGCCGAAGGTGGGGAATCGTGGCCATTCCTAGCAAGGACAGCACCAGCACTGGGCCAGAATGGCTTGGGTCAAAATTGCTTGGGCCAGAGGGCGAGGAGGAGGAAGATGGAGGAGGACGAATGGGAGATGGTGGAGGAGGAGGATGAGGATGAGGAGGAGGAGGAGGCGGAAAAGGGAGGAGAAGGAGGAGGAGAATGAGGAGGAGGATGATAATGATGATGATGATGATGATGATGATGATGATGATGATGATGATGATGATGATGATGATGATGATGATGCTGTTGATGATGATGCTGATGATGGTGATGATGATGAGGATGCTGGTGATAAGTCTGATGCTGATGGTGATGATGATGATGATGATGATGATGATGATGATGTTGACGATGATAATGATGTTGATGATGATGATGATGATGATGATGATGATGATGATGCTGGTGATTCTGATTATGATTATGATGATCATGATGACGATGGTGGTGATGATGATGCTGATGATGACGACGACGATGATGATGCTGATAATGATGAGGAGGAGCAGGAGCAGGCGCAGGAGGGGAAGGAACATCAGGAGGACGAGGAGGGGTAGGAGGATGAATAGGAGGAGCGGGCAGGACGAGCAGGAGGAGGAGGAGGAGGAGGAGGAGGAGGAGAAGGAGGAGGAGGAGAATGAGGATGAGGAGAAGGAGGAGGATGAGGAGGAGGAGGAGGAGGTGGTGCGCGATGTTCATGAAGAACAGTGGAAACGCAGAGAAGGATAGGGGGACGAAGGATGATGGTGGTGATGATGATGCTGCTGATGATGATGATGCTGATTGTGATGATGGTGATGATGACAATTACGATGAGGATGATGATGACGATGATGATGCTGATGATGCTGCTGCTGATGATGATGATGCTGGTGATCATGGTGGTGATGAGGAGGATCAGGATGAGGATGAGGATGAGGATGAGGATGATGCTGCTGATGATGATGATGCTGATGATGATGATGCTGATGCTGATGCTGATGCTGATGATGATGATGATGATGATGATGATGATGATGATCAGGATGATGACGATGATGATGCTGACGATGACGATGTTGTTCATGATGATGGTGAGGAGGGGGAGGATGAGGAATAGGAAGGTCAGGAGGAGTAAGACAAGGAGACGAGGAGGAGGATGAGGAGGAGGACCAGAGTACAGCGATGATGCAATACGCCCTCCCGTCCCGAGCTCCCCCTTTCATGCGTCCCATAAGAGCTTCTATTCCACTATCAGATGTTTTTTCGGATTGAAAGACCAGCGCAGTGTGGGCCTGCCCTTCTGGCGAGGGCTCAGTTTTGCCAAGGATCTGGTTTGCATCCGTCTGGTGTGTGATCAGTCGGGGGTGGACAGGACCCCCACCCTGACACGTCGATTAGTGAATTGTCCGTTTTCGGTTTTCGAGAGGGCGCCGCGGCCGTCATTTTCCAGGCTTGCGCTTGCCAGGTTTGGGCCCGAGGTCGTTTTCACTAAACCACGTTTTACTAAAGGGGGTTTTGTCCATCCACGAATCAGACTTGCGAGCAATTATGATCACACAGTTCAACGCGGGTCCAGCGATATCCGCCGTTCGATTTTTTAAGAATGTCCTTATCTGTGCACGTAGCTGATGCACAAGCTTGCGCTTGTGGCCGTGACTTTCCAGACCATCTCAAGCAACAGCTCCATTTAGACAAGGAGCCGCCCTCGATCCATACAGTGCTACAATTGCTGAAGTTCTGGGCCCTGAAGGTAGGGAGGTCTCAAACGATAGCCGCATTTTGGAAAAGAGCCGTCCTCCCTGACTACTGCAAGGTGTTGCATCGAATGTGCATGACGCTAATGCGAGATGCCCACTTTGAATAGGAGCCGCATTCAATCCTTGTGGCCGCTGTAAGCTTTTAAGCCGAATGTGCGCCGCGCGAATGCGAGAACCCCATTTTCAAAATGATGCTGCCCTTGAAGCTGTGGCACACTTTGAAGACGAGTATGCGCGGTGCTACCGTGAGAACCCCATGTTGAAAATCACCCCCCTAATCGGTTGAAGCCGGTGAACACTTGTAAGACGAATGTATGCAGCGCTAAGGCTAGAACAATACATTGAAAACGGATGTCCTCAAGCCGTGAAGCAGTTACAAGCGTTTAAGACAAGGTCTTGCGGCGCTAAAGTTGGAGCCCCAATTTTGAACATGCCCCCCATCCATTCTTAAATCCATTACAACTTGGAAGGACCATTCTACGCGACGCTAAGGCGAGAGCCCCATTTTGAAACCATCCCGCCTCCATTCTGAAGCTGCTGCAGTCTTCTAAGACGGGTGTCCGCGGCGCTAGTCCTCCTTCTGTCAAGCTGCAACCAATTTCCAATAATAACTTGCATGACGATGCGGCGAGAATCCCGTTTTGCAAGCGACCCCCCTCCATCCCTGAAGCTGTTGCGAACATTTAGGCCCGATGTGCGCGGCGCGAAGGCGAGATACCCACTCTGAACTAGAGCCGCTCTCGACCGCTGAGTCTATTGCAAACTGTGAGCGAATGTGCGCGGCGCCAAGGCGATGGCTTCGTTTTGAAGACGGCCCCGTGCAAGCTTTCAAGACGAGTGCGTGCGGCGCTCAGGCGAGCGCCACATCTTGAAAGCGACCCTCCTCCTCCTCCTCCTCCTCCTCCTCTTCCTCCTCCTCCTCCATTCCTGGGCGCGCACTTTCAAGCCCAACGTGTGCCCCGCGAAGGCGAGAGCTCCCCTTTTTGAGGACGACCCGCCGCGCGCCGCGCTGCGGCGGTAGTTGTGCACTGACAACGGCCCGCCCTCCGTCGTTGAAGCTGCTGCAAGCTGAAGCAACAATGTGCGCGGCGCCACGGCGATAACTTCATTTCGAGGACGACCCTCTCCATCCCCGAAGCTGGCGTACACACTTACAGCGAACGTGCGCGGCGCTAGGGCGGGAGCTGCGTTTTCGAACCGACCTGCCCTCCGTCCCTGGCACCGTGTCAAGATTCAGGGTCATAGATGTGGAGGGTGTCTCAGGCGAGTCGCTGAGCCCGCCCGGCGGAGACGTCTGGGCGTGCGGCAGTGAGGAGTTCTTTACAAGGAGCAGGGATGGAGGAATCCTCCTTCCCCCTTAACCCTCAGGATGAAGGGGGAAAGGAGGAACGAAGGATGATAAGGATGAGGAGCAGGAGGAGGAGGAGGAGGAGGAGGAGGAGGAGGAGGAGGAGGAGGAGGGGGGGAGGGGGATGATGACGAAGTACGGATACGGGCAGGGATGCCGATGAGGCTGATGGTGATGATGACGGTGATGATGATTGTGCTGCTGCTGATGACGGTGATAAGTATAATGTTGCTGATGCTGGTGATGATGGGGGTGAGGCTGAGGATGCTGATGCTAATGCTGATGATGATGATGCTGAAGCCGATGATGATGCTAGTGGTGGTGCTGATGCTGATGACGACGACGATGATGATGACGATGATGATGCTGATCATGCTCATGATGATGATGATGATGATGATGATGATGATGATGATGATGATGATGATGGTGGTGGTGATGATGATGATGATCATGATGATGATGATCATGATGATTATGATGATGGTGATGTTGCTGCTGATGATGATGCTGATGATGATTATGAAGATGATGCTGATGATTCCGATCATGCTGATTATGATGATGCTGATGATGACATTTATAACGATGATGATGCTGATGCTGCTGCTGCTGCTGATGATGATGATGATGATGATGATGATGCTGATGCTGCTGCTGCTGCTGATGATGCTGATGATGATGATGATGATGATGATGATAATGATGATGATGATGATGATGATGATGGTGATGGTGATGGTGATGGTGATGGTGACGAGGAGGAGGAGATGACGAGGAGCAGGAGGAGGAGGTAGGGAGGTGTAGGAGGATGAGGTGGTAGGGATGATGATGATGAGGAGGAGGAGGAGGAGGAGGAGGAGGAGGAGGAGGAGGAGGAGGAGGAGGAGGAGGAGGAGGAGGGGTAGGAGGAAGAGGAAGAACGGGCAGGACGAGCATGGTGAGGAGGAGGAGGAGGGGGAGGACCATCATCCAATCCCACATCTAATTTACATGCACCTTTTACATTCCTTCTCCCTCCGCGCAGGGCTCAGGACTCAGGTTACCTCGACATCGACATCGGTACGCAGCACCATCACCACCACCACGGCTCCCTCTTGGGAGCCCTCGTGGCACAGACGCGAACGC